GGACGGACCATTATGAAAAGTGATTGGGGGGGGGGGGTAAATATTTCATGTTTGTATTTTTTTTCCAGCGCATTTTAAACAAGTCTGATGCATGTATTTTTTTTCAAACCCTTTTTGTTTGCATAGGTTTTTTTCTGTTTTCCCCCCACCCTCCCCATCACTTTTCTAATGGTCCGTCCCTAAATACTTTCTAAATAGTTAAATTTATTTAAATCGAGTTTTCTAATTAATTCATTATTTATTCTAGAACATCCAATCAACAAACTGGCAGACAATGAGATTCAAACCTCCGCCTGCGAACTCTCCCATTGGCTGGAGAGTAGAGTTTAGACCTACTGAGGTACTGGGACTAGTATGACGTCATATATGATTATTGTCACGTGATCTAATTAATTTGTTCACGTGATTCAATACATCTGTTCGTGTGATTTAATACATCTGTTCACGTGATTTGATACATCTGTTCAAGTGATTTAATACATCTGTTCACGTGATTCATTATTTCTGTTCATGTGATTCAATACATCTGTTCACGTGATTCAATACATCTGTTCACGTGTTCTTTTTCAAAACGTGTTCTTTTTCCTTTCCAGGTGCAGTTGACAGATTTCGAAAATGCGGCGTTTGCAACCTTCGTAGTTTTGATAACCCGAGTGATCCTTTCATTCAACCTTAATCTGTTGATCCCTCTCTCCAAGGTAAAACATCGCAAGGATTTATCACTGCTTTCTCCATTGTTCTCCTTGGAGTTTTCTCAACTTTCTCTCTACCATAGGTGGATGAAAATCTGGCCTCTGCTCAAAAGCGAGATGCTGTCAGAAAAGAGAAGTTTCATTTCAGGACAATGTTGAAAATATGTAAGTTTTAATAACGGCCCGAAATGTCAAAGCAGTAAGTGACTGGATGACATGGAGAACAGTGGGATTTTCAAAACAATGAAAAGACAATGGAACATTCTGATCACTGGATGGCATGGAGAACAGTGGGATTGTCAAAACAATGAAAAGACAATGGAACATTCTGATCACTGGATCATGACTGCATGCACTTTTGTTATGCAATTCGATTTTTTACTACAAATTCAGACAAGTTTCTAGAACGTTGGTGATTCACGCTTTATGGACTTTGATTGTAGGTGGAGCGAATGAAAAGGGAGTCGAGGTGTGCCCGAAGGAATGTTGTTATAAACTCATGTCCATTGATGAAATTATTAATGGCAAGGTTAGTACCAAGTTCATTGAAATTATATTTGCATATTTCCTGGATTGCTGGAAAAATAAAATTTGGGAATTTTTTTCTAGGAAGGCGAGTTTTCTGGTCTTATTCCATTGATCAATAAATTCCTCGATTCCGTCGATGTTGATTTTGAAACTCGCTGTACCATCAGTCAGTATTTAAAGTTCATGTCCAAGAAAGCATCAGGTAGGCTTCTTTTCCGTGTTTAGTGAATATTCAATTTCTGAGTATGTTTTAGAAATGTTCTTGTCACAGGTTACAGTTTCAGTTTCAATTCCTACAATATGTAGTTGTCTGATTATAATTTCCTAAATTTCGAGAAGAGTACTTCACTTTACCAAATACCACATGTTTCCTGCTGTAGTTGCACTGCATCAGCTCTGATCTCTAGGAAGAACAGTTTAGAACTGATAGAGCTATCCAGTATATAAATAAACTTAGTTTCGTTTAGGTTTCCTCTTGTAGTAACACTGGATCAATAACAGATGATCCTTACTGGATCTCTAGGAAGAACAGTTTAGAACTGATAGAACTACCCAGTATAAATAAAGTTAGTTTCGTTTAGGTTTCCTCTTGTAGTAACACTGGATCAATAACAGATGATCCTTACTGGACCTCTAGGAAGAACAGTTTAGAACTGATAGAGCTATCCAGTATAAATAAAGTTATAGTTTAGTTTAGGTTTCCTCCTGTAGTAACACTGGATCAATAAGAGATGATCCTTACTGGACTTTTAGGGAGAACAGTTTAGAACTGATAGAGTTATCCAGTATTAGTTTAGTTTAGTTTAGTTTAGGTTTCCTCCTGTAGTAACACTGGATCAACAAGAGATGACTCTTACTGGACCTCGAGGGAGAACAGTTTAGAACTGATAGAGCTATGCAGTATAAATAAAGTTAGTTTAGTTTAGGTTTCTTCCTGTAGTAACACTGGATCAATAAGAGATGATCCTTACTGGAACTCTAGGGAAAACAGTTTAGAACATTTCCTCATCAACAATTGTATTATCTTCTAGGTGAATACTTGACTACAGCGCAGTGGATGAGAAATTTTGTGGTGGAGCACCCGGAATACAAACACGACTCTGTAGTCAGTGAACATATCGCATACGATTTGTTGAAAACTTGCCATGAAATCAGTAACAATGGTCAGCCCTGTCCAAAACTTTTTGGTTGTCCAGAAACTCTCACGACTCGCTCAATTGGGCCTGAATTTGAAAGTCCACATGGTGCTAATGGCACAGCAACGATGAATGGTGCAGTCACTAATGGCATCTGAATTTTTGGGTAAATGATGTGCCGAAAAATGCAATGTTAGTGCGGTACATATTTCTATATAGTCAATTATAGGGGGAGAGAATTTAATTATAGAAACACAAAGAAACATACTTCTAATTGTCCCATACCAAGCAGCATAGAAAATGTTTTACTGGACCTGTTGTGAACCTTTCCACGGGAGATATTATCCAAAAATGCAATATTGCAGTACATCTAAGCAGCCAACATGTATTCGTGCTTGTTGGGGTTGCGTGATGTGATATTCTTGTGTTGGCGTTCCTCCAGGATGCGTGACGTTATGCCAAAGGATTTCGATGTTTTTCGGATAACTCTCATACCTTGTTACCACCATATACACCTGATCAACTAACGCATCTTTATGACCATCTAGAGTTGTTGCCACACAAATCATTCACATATTTAAATGCTTGGTCATCTTTCTTCTATTCTATGCTTGCATTATCACAACAGGAAGGCGCATGTGAGTTATCTAAAAATGTGAATAAAGGGCCATTTTCCATTACAGTCGCTTTGCCCGTGCGGGCGGAGCGACCAATTTTAATCACGTGAAAAATCAGTCGCCCGGGCACGCCAAGAAAGTTGAATGTGGTTCTACTTTCATGGCGTGTCCGCGAGCATTCAGGCGGACAAAAAATGCACAGGTTAGGCAACTACAGAGAAAGTTGAGTAATGTTCGCTCCACTCGCGCGGGCAAAGCGACTGCAATGGAACATTGCCTTTAGGTACGAGTTATGAATGCTCACATGAGGATACATATACTCAGAACATTCATAACTCTTTCACTCGTTCACATCCATCAGAAGGAGAAAATCGTACCAGAAATCACAGCAAAAATTGCAAGTCTAAACAGGAAAGGTTCATGCATGCATCTGCCTTCAGCTACGTAAGGTCATCTGCATTTCTAAACGTTATTTATAACCAAGGCCAAAATTATGCCTACGATATAGAACCATTAAACGATATATAGCTCAACAGTATACGAATTTTTTATCTCATCGTTTTAAATTCATACATATATATAGGCTTACGTTGATACCACTGTTATAAATTTATACGAAAGTGTCATGTGTTCTACAAAAAGCAAATGAAATTGGGCTAAAAAATTCTTGGTAATTCTTAGGCTTGATGTATTTTGCTTTAACGTTGTGTATATATTTTCCAGTTCGTTATATCACAAGGTTTCAATTAGTTTTATTTTTGAAGCGAGTGAGAAGGAACTGCTATTCTCTGGACAATATCGTTGCTCAATTTTAATTCCAATCATTCCTGTATTTCGAAAGTCGGAAACAATATTAGCCACGACATCTTGCAACGAAGTTAGCGGCTTATATAGAGTGAACGTCTTGAGTAGCCACTCGATACTGGTCAGAATGCGTGGGCCACACACAATGCAAGTCAGGCGTTGGCTGCATAACATGTGCACACTATTCTCTATGGTTTCCCATCCATACGCAGTTGTGTAGTCAGGGGGGGGGGGGCGACCGCTACCCAATTTCGCCACAACAACAATTCTCTCGAAAAAGACGGACACGACATTTTCCTGTTGTTCGTTCCATTTTCCCCTAATTTTAGTAAATTTCTCCACATTTTAGCTATCATTATTAATATTTAATCAGTGTCATTCAAATATTTTTTTCCTATCCAAATTCATGTTTTGCCGACTACTCCAACAATTTGCTGACTGGGATTTAATATTTTGCCGACTACCTGATGACTGGGGATTTCACCCCCTCCACACGCCCCCATACACACGCCCGCCCCCTTTAGCGGCACCCCTGGAGAGACAAGAAATAACATTGACTAAAGTCTGGCTTAAAACAACACTGCATGATACGACTTTGCGCACTTCGACTTTTTGAGTAGCCTGCGTCGCAGACTTCAAAACGCATGTTTTATCAAACATTTGTTTTGAAGTCTGCGACGCAGGCTACTTTTTGAGCGACTACACTAAATATGCGCGCAAAGTTTTTCCCCGCAAGGCCGCAAAGTTTTATCTATAACGACTGTTTAAATGTCGTGTATGTTAAAATGCATTAACAAGAGCCTGGTTAAACTGTGTTTGTACAAATACGAACGGTAAGTGCTCAAAAACGCAAACAGACTCAATTTTCAAAATTTACAAATTCGCAAGATTTACAAATCATCAATCATGTTGACAGGCGGTGCGGGCAAAATCGGGCATGGTCTTGCGTGGGTTGGCTAATTACAATTCATCCTCTTTGGAATGGAATGAAGCTGTATGCGTAGTCGGTTTTGAACTCGAAAAGAAAGCCTTTGCTCTTTTAAAAATGGATATCTGCCCGTTAAATCGTCCTTGGACAGTTCTTGGATGACATTTTGGTCAAAAGATTAAATTTCTGATGTTTTCTGGGACAAAGGCCAGGTGCTGAGCGGCTTGCTTTTGAGAGGGCAAGTCAACTTTAATATTTGACAATTTAAAAGGCAAACAAACACAGTTTTGAAACGATGAGCAACCTTTCTGGCGTTGTACGCGAAGGCTGGTTAAAACGAGTCAAGGTAAATGTTCAGTATATTTGTTATAATATGTGGTTATTGAATAAACATTTACGGAGCCGTTTGCAAAGGTTTGCAAAAATTTGGCAGACTTGCTTTATGTGTGTTATTGTATTAAAAGCTTCGGCTTTTGTGCAAATATTTCTATAGGCGAAGAATGCCCTTGACTCTTGCTTAATTTTATCAAAGCTGGAATTTATAGTATACAAGAGTAAATTCACGCTAGTATTTTATAACAGCATGGCCAGAGAATTTGATATTCTGTTCAAAATACAAATGTCGTCAATGCGATCAAATGGTCGTGTATTTAATAAATGGAATCTTAGACACTTGAAGGATTTGCTGTAATAGAATATTTATATTAAAGACTTTAGATATATTCAATATTGCACCGATTGATTTAAATACATGAATATAACCGTATCAACATTTAAGTTGATCCGAATTTTCATTATCTGTTTACAAATGCTCCTTAAAATTGTGAAATATGAAACCATTTGTTAACAATTGATTGCCAAAATACGATATTTCACGTCCCGGAAAAGCCCCAAAGTGTCAAATGCTTTCTCTATAAAAGCAAATAATTTAAAAGTTCACAACTCCTCAGCGAAATATTTTGAAGCAATTAGTAAATGCCTATCTCTTATTAAATGTAACAAAGCGAATATACACTATCAGCAGATGGTAACTTGCAGATATCAAAGTGAGAAAATATCAAAGGTTCATTCTTTTCATTTTTATGTAGTAGTCTTGTATTTGGAGGCTAATAAATGCTGAAAACTCTCTCGGCGTTATTTGACCACCATGAATGCTTTGCTCAGATCTATCCATTACAGTAAAAAATTAGATATTTACTTTTATATGCTGACATTGTTTATTTTGATAAGCAAATTGGCAATTGCGTCGCACTTTAAAAAACAATTTTAGTTTACTCTGCTAATGTAATCCAAGAAATCTCTTTTAGTATTTCTTACTAGTATTCAGTTTGGTTATTAGTGGAATGTGCTTGCTGGTGACTTTTCCATAATTTGCTGTTGTCTAGGAACTATTGGCCCGTGTTAATTATATAATGTAGTATCTCACTGTGCCAAAGAAAAATATTTTTTGTGCTTACTGTATAAATTTGCAAATAATATATAAATAACATGACTTTTGAAAACTGTTCCTATCCCAATATCTGGTTGATGTGTTTATGTATAATACTACATTGTTCATTTCCTGTTTGGGTTTATATTTATTGAATTTGATATCATTCGTTACTAATTTTAAAATAAAATTATTTTTATGTTGCAAGTTTTATTAATTAGTTAAATTAGAATATCTAAATTAATTTAATAAGCGAATAAGAAATTTGCTAACATGACTTTAGAAAATGAATTTTGCTTTACACATAATATATGAGTGGGTTTCAGACAGTATAGTCAGATCTGTTGTCTCTCAATTATATTGACTTGTCTTAATTGTTGGTTAGCATAGGACTACTATATGCAGGAATTTTTCAGCAGGGGGCAGTAAGGCCTATGTGCTGAAAAAAGTCCCAAATACCCAAAGAATAATTAATAATGCCATTCTAAAAATTGTAAAATATAGTTTTTTTCTAGGGGGGCAGTTGCCCTGCCCCCCCCCCCCCCTCCTCCCTGCTGTGTACAGCCCTGGTTTAGCAGTCTGTCTGCATGCTGCTTGATAGTGCTGTAATACTTTATAGCGAAGTGTGCCAAGATGTAATTTGATATTTTTGTTATTAAAAATATAAACTTCCCTTTTCCTGTTCTGATATCCTTGTATACTAATCCCTGTTGAGTCTAGGAAGTTAAACTTTCTAAGTGTCATTCCACACAGTCTGGCAAAGCAAGCTTAGCCACTTTGACTGCAGATTTGACAATTTTTCTGGAAAATTCTTAGAAAGGTATTTCATGGTTGAATGGTCAGTATTTATGTAAAGAATTGAACAATATACAACTAGTTGTAAATCCTGAAAATAAATTTATGTTTACATGTATGATAATTTTTGTAAACTTTTTGTACTTCCTTGACTTCCTTGTCAGAAAGATGGTGAACTTGGGAAGTCTGATAACCATAAAATTTCATTAGTGAAGCACCAATATACAAATTTACAGATATTCTCACTGATAACCAATATTCATTAGGGTGTATATATATACCGATACTGACAGTTTAGAAAACTTGTCACAGTTACGAGCTAAGAGTGGCCAATCGTGTATTAACTTAACACCAATTGCCACATATACATACTATTTAAAACACAAGTAGGAGTGCTTTATCAGATATAAAACAGGAGAGCACAGCTCGAGTGTTTTATATCTGATAAAGCATGCTGACTGTTTTAAATGGCTTAAAAAAATGACCCATCTTAGGTCATTTCATTGGCAAAGTAATTTTAAAAATAAACCTTTTCTAAGCTGAGGAAATCAAAGCTGAAGTTTATGTAAATACATGATTTTTTATCACATATAAAACCACTGACATGGTAGAGATTTATTTTGTATTTTCCTCATGAATTATTAATGAGTTTTTTAAATGTTAATAATATCTTTGAATTTTCTGTAAATTAATGTGAGTGTAGGTATCTTTGAATATAGCTGTATATTGAATTTACATTAATATGTTTGTGATACATTTGAGTTGTGTTACACTTAGTTGAAACCATAATATATTGTAAATTTAAAATATATTTCAAACACTCATTAATAATTCATAAGCTTATTGGCAAATCATATCAACCATAATAGTCATATGTTGTGTGCAGCGGCTTTAAACCTGATAAAACACTCCTAATCAGTATTCTTTATATAAAGAACGTCGTGTTTTATTAGGTCTAAAGCCACTCGCGCTGCGCACTCGTGTCTTTAAACCTAATAAAACACTCCTGCTCGTTTATTAAACAGTACTTTATAAACTTATTATAATGTAATATCGGCAACAAAAATACCAGTATCAATATTTTGAATTTATAGGGCTGATATATCCGATACACTAATATGGATATAAGGATATTGGTATATCACTAAATTTCACTTGCCTCCAATGCATTGTTATTTTACTTGCTTTCAGAACCAGAAAAAACGTTATTTTGTGTTGGGATTCAACAAGGAAACGGGTGATGCTCAATTACAATATTATGAAAACCCGAAAAAATTTGGTGCCAAAGAAACAGTTCCAAAGAGGATAATATCCTTACAACAATGCCTTGGCATTGTCAAAAGATCTGACGAGAAGTTTGGGAATATTCTTGCGTTGTACTCAAAAGAAGGGATATTTCGTCTGAAAGCTGACACAGACGACCTCTTGGAAGATTGGTTCACAGATCTCAATAAACTACATCAGATGGAGTATAAGAATTTACAGGAATTAAAATATGGTTAGTTGATGTAAAATCTGTCATTTAATTTGATAGTGGACATAAGGATTATTAAAATAAGGATTATTATTATTAAGAACAATGTTATTTTCTATTAAGATATGGTATGGAAGGTAAAAATTGTCTCACGAGGTCTGGGGGGTGTGAAGAACATCACTGGCTCGTACAAACTATGCCTAAAAGACAACACATTGTATTTCGTCAATCCTGTATCACAAGATGTGATTATCGAAGAGAAACTATATTATGTTCGCAAGTTTGGTTATTCCGACAACCATGTCTTCATGGAGTTTGGTCGTTCCACGGCATTGGGGCCTGGGGAGATATGGATGGAAGTTGGGGATCCCTTGATTGCCCAGAAAATTGAAGACAGTCTGTCAAGGTGATTATATACTTCATAATTTTTGCTGAAGACTTGGTACTTTACCCATTGAGTGGCAGCACTCTCCACTTGACAAGTAAAATCGTCTGGCGTTAGACAGAGTAAAATACTAAAGTAGGCAAGTGCCTCCTTTATCTGTTGGAGAAAACCAGAATACCCAGAGAAAACCCACAAGTTTTGGAAGAACATTGGCTAATCTTTTTTTTGTGGGTGTCTTCAGTGTAGATCTCAACGAACTGCTCTGCAGGTATCTCATCCCTGGGGTGTTGTGTTCATAAATATTTTTGTGTGTAATTGTGTGTTGATTATTTCAGATCAGTGAAACCGAAATCGGAGAGACCAGAGCGTAAATCAATAGCCGGAGACTCAAGGATAAGTGTAGAGCAACCTGTGGACAATAACAATGACAGCCCGAAATCCAGACGACAAACCTTTAAAGACTTTGTGTTGAGAAAGGGAAGAGGTATATGCGTTTGTTTCCTACCAGAGTATCTAAGTATACACCCATTGCACATGACGTCACAGCGCCGGTGACGATGCATCTGGAGGACAAATTAGCCCAATGTTCTGCCAACTGAGCTATGAGGTTAAGTCTGTTCGAGTTGGTGATATTTCGGAACTGAGTCTAGTTCCTTCGATATCAATGTATTCTTTGATATCAGTGTATTCCATATCAATGGATTCTAAGAATGTATTCTAATTGTACATCAGATATTTTCTAATTGTACCTGAGAGAGCTTAGTAGTTCTAAGTATTTCAATGTTACATTATTCTCTGTGTAGATGGTTTACGTCCACACTCCAACTCTCTATCTTCTACACCTGGTGGCACACCTGTTGGCTCAGCAGAAGAACAACTCACATTCACGGGGAGTAATGGCAGTTTACCAAAAAAGACTCATATCGGTAAGTGAAGAATGATAATAGAGGTTCAGATTTGACTCGCGGGTTTAATACGCATTTGATTGGTTAATTGGGTAGAAGGAATGCATCTGATTGGTTAATTGGGTAGAAGAAATGCATTTGATTGGTTAATGCAATCTTCATAATTCGCCTTGGCACTTGGCAAGCATATTTAGAATGTTCTTATCTCCCTTGGCAAAAAAAACTCCCCAATTTTGACTCCAATCACAACCCCAGCTCTAATGCTACTCTGTGCAAAGCATGACGGTCTAGCGTTATTATTCTCTAGGCGAAGATGAGGATTCTGAAGAAAGACATTATCCAAAGATCACCCCTCCAGCCCCGCTTGTTCCCAGAACGAAATCCCAATCATCAGGCAAGTGCAGCGACAGAAGTTTGAGAAATAAATAATAGACATGATTTTTTTCTGTGTTGGTGTAATTGTACTTGGGTGAATATGTTGCTTGTGATGTTACTCTGAGTGTATATCCACACCGGGCAAGCTTGAAAAATTGCCTGGCCACGGTGGGAATCGAACCTACAACCTTTGGAATACTAGCCCAACGCTCTGCCAACTGAGTCTCTGTCTTTTTATACTATAGTAAAACATATCGTGGTTCTGATCACTTGTAAAAATTAGTGAGAAAAAATCGTTGTCTCCAAAACTTAATCCACTGCTCTAAAACTTAATCAAAATTGTATAGCATGCAGCATATGTGCTAAAAATGTTCAGATGAAATGCAAATTTTGCCAATATACAAAGAAGCTGTAAGAGGTCTAATGGCTGATGACCGCCTTCTATTGAGCTACGCGGTCAGGTCGGTTCGAGTATGTGATATTTCGGAACTGAGTCTAGTTCCTTTGACATCAATACAATCTAGTAATCATGATTTTTTCTGTGTTGGTGTAAAGTACTCAGGTGAATATGATACTTGTGATGTTACTCTGAGTGTGCTAGTATTCCAAAGGTCGTAGGTTCGATTCCCACCGTGGCCAGGCATATTTTTCGAGCTTGCCCAGTGTGGATACACACTCAGAGTAACATCACAAACAAGATAATAGACACTTCCCGGAATTTGCTGTCAGGTAATGAACACTCCCTTATTTATATTTACAATGGTTTTGATTTCATGCCATTGTTTCGTGTGGGCTCGAACAAATTCGGGAAGTGTCTATTACAGAGAATCAGAATCGAATTAGAATATGTCAAAAAATCTGATGTGACCGTTTTGATACTATATTTACAGGATCATTTGCTGAAGACGGCATTATACACAGGAGGAAAGGAACTTTGGTATGTAATGTCATAGATACCGACTTGCGCGTAATCTCATAGACACAATTGTAATTTCATAGATACAGGTTCTGTAGGAACTATCTCAAAAAAAGAGTCAGTTTATCTTGTCTTGATGTAGATGATCTGTTAGACAAATGTTTCATCTTTGATGATCGTAACGAAATCAGATTTTCTGGAGAGGGTTAATTCGTCTCTCTAGAAAATTTGACCAAATCAGTTGAATGAATTTTTATCAATGTAGGACTTAGAGTCAAAACTTGAACGCGTGAAAACTGAGAATAATTACGCAAACATTACCAAGGGGAAGAGAAGATCTGAAAGAAAGCAAGACATAAATGTCGTGAGACAAAATTTCGTCGAACAATACAAAGGTTTTTCCTCTCTGCCGAGGAGAACCAGCAGCAGTTCCAGCGGAGACCCCAACTGGCGTCGCAGTGTGGGCAGCGAAAACTTCCACGGTTTGAATGACGATAGTGATAAAGACCGAGAATCCGACAGAGAAGATAGCGAAGCATTCTCGCTGCAAAGTGGGGAGCAATATATAAAAATGTCGCCTCGACGACAAGCGCCTATAGGTAGTGACTCGTCGATTGATGAACCTGGGATAAACGATTCTGCGAGTTTTGACCCTTCGAGATCTGAGCCACGGCCGTATGTGCCTTTCAAACCACCGACAAGTACTCCTGATCTGTATGTCGAAATGACTCGACCCCAGGCAAGTTTTGAAAAGTTGCGCAATACTTCAGCGCGTAGTTCTGACTCGTACCATTCCCCCGAGGAGGGAGAGGTGGATGTGAGTACATATGTGAACATGAAGCCGGGATTACGTCACATAACATCATCAACCTCATCTGATGATCTTCCGGGGGATGAACAATTTGATCATTTGAACCGGGGGGAGAGTGCCTTACCTAGCGATCCTTATGTGAATATAGGCCCACAATCTGTTAATAGGCTTAAAAAGTCTCATTCTCAAATACAACGCGGTACCGACAATGCTTATATGAACGTGGACATGAGTCGAAGCAAAAGTGTCGGTAGTAAGGCGCCACGATTTCGCATCGTGTCCGAGAAAAATTCGGCCCCAGACGGCGACGAAAACCGAGAACGTACGAGCTGTTATGTCAATGTGAAAGCGAAGGATTGTTGTTCGGAAGCAGACGCAAATTATGCTAATTTTGTACCGCAAAATTGCAAAGAGAGCGCGGAAATGTCTCCTGGCAGGATTAGAAGAGATTTGAATTATGCGTCGGTGGAGTTTCCCAAGGACAGTCCCCCACGAGTGCGGACAACAAAGAAACGGGAGGACAATTATTCAAAAATTGATTTTGAGAAGTCGAATGTTCTAGCGGATATGTCAAGCACACGAGAACGGCAGTTTCATCACGCATGATGGCACGTGGAAACTAGAATTGGTAGTTTTGTATATAGTCTTGTATATCTTTATTATTCGCGTAAAAATCTCACAAGTTGTAAGGCTTAAAATCTCACAGCTTATCAACAAGATGTGTTTCAGGTTGTTGACAAGTTTGGAACAATTTGTTGTGTAATATTTCAAGGACTGGATCAAAATGAGAGGACTTGAAATCTAGTCCAGTCCGAATTGGAGGATTTGAAATGACATCTCAATCGAATAAATCACTATACTTAAAGTGAGGTGAATTAATTTTGATCCAATCCTAGGACTGGATCAGTATACTTCGTCAGGTATCCAGTATTATTATGTGAGCAAAATAAAGCAATATGATAAAGCTAATTTACTCATGAATGGACCATTCCCCAATTAACCAAAAATTTTATATCAACAAGTCTAGACAAAATTTCATCATAGCATGAAAGAGCATCACAAAATTAGTAATATTCCAAAGTTTCGTTGCGAAATGTTGTAAAATGCGGATAATATAGCCTTGCGAAATTTGCAATTTTCAGTCATTTTAGATTACAAACAGGAAATGGTTACCACTTTTTCAAAATTTTGATCTAAACTAGCTGAACAAAAATTTCATCACAGCTTGAAAGAGCATCACAAAATTAGTAATATTCCAAAGTTTCGTTGCAAAATGTTGTAAAATGCGGATAATATAGCCTTGCGAAGTTTGTAATTTTCAGTCATTTTGTATTACGCACAGAAGTGGTAACCATTTCCCGTTTGTAATCTAAAATGACTGAAAATTGCAAACTTCGCAAGGCTATATTATCCGCATTTTACAACATTTTGCAACGAAACTTTGGAATATTACTAATTTTGTGATGCTCCTTCATGCTGTGATGAAATATTTGTCTAGACTTGTTGAGTTCAAAATTTTGGTTAATTGGGGATTGGTCCATTAGGTCCATTGGTCCAAAAATTATTTAGTTGAAAATCTTTTTTGATGAAAGAAAAGGTCTTTGACCATTTTCCACACATTTGGAGCAGTTCGAAGCAAAACGTCGAATGTTAATTAGGACTGTTCGGTATACAGATACAGATATTTCACAGCACACTCCCTATCAGGGCTTTTCAGTGACTGGTTACATTATGAATAGCTAGATAGATAGAACCGGACTGACGTGAAGTATCTGTATACCGATATACCGAAAATATCGGTATTAAATCAATATCGGTATATCGATACTGGATATTCAACCATACCGATATACCGAAATTTCCGATATACCGGAATTTTTCGGTATACCGTGTTAAATTTACCAACTATATGGCGAAACCATAACCGGCTTTATTTTACTACTGAATGGCAATTCAAAGAACTTTCTACTGCAATGATTTAGAATTTCCACTTCAGTGAGATTTTACAC